CAAGTCAAAATTTTCTGTAACATTTATAAAACATTTGAAAGGCCTCTTTTCCCAGAATATAAAATGTAAAATTGATTTCCAGGGATAATCAGAGATTAGATACTCATTGCTTCAGGGTTTTAGAGATGAGTAAATATAAGAAGAAAATATTTAAATTTTATCTCTTTTACTCCTATAATCATATATGGGCATATAATTTTTACCTAAACTCTAGATAGAGAGGAACCAATCCCTTCCTACATATCTGATAATAATCAGAATGAGGTTTGTTCACAAGTACCTGAAGGGGGTTAAGGCAGATGACAAAAGGTGGAAAACCTTTATTTATCTAGCAATGATGGAGAAAGTACATTGGAGAATGGAGAAATGAAAATGGAAATTTTGTGAATTTCTTTGGAACAGCTAGAAATAGAGAATCTATTCTACTTAACTTAAAATTTACTTTTGTTTTTGTTTTATTTTTGTAACTAGAGTTTCGGAATGTTACAGCTGAAAGGACAAGAGATGTCTATTGTTTTTGTTGCCAATGATGACAAAGGATGGAGAAAGATGATTCTAAAAGATGGTTCCAGAAAGATAATTGTGAATCAAGAGAAGATTCTAAGGTAGGAAAAACATGGTAAATGAAAGAATTATGGCTCTTTCCTTACTGAAAGAAAGTGGAATCCAGGGGGCAAGGNGTGTGTGTGTGTGTGTGTGTGTGTGTGAGAGAGAGAGAGAGAGAGAGAGAGAGAGAGAACACAGTAGTATCATATGAGTACTGTGGCCTTGATTTCATAAACATTTTTGAATAAAATAATTTAGTTTCATGTCAAGATTTTTCTAGTTTATCCATCTCTTGAGTCTCAGACGAGTGTCCTGGAGATTTGGCCTTATAAATTAATGCCTATATGTTTGTAAAGGGTGTCCAGAGTGAAGCCAATATTCTGTCTGTAAAGAGGTACAGTCTCAAATTTAACTTTGGGAAAGACTGTCCATTTGTTCTCTGCAAATCAACACCATGGCCCACTTAATGAGGTAATCAAAACCTAATTCTGAGTGAAAAGCTGAGACCAATGGAGGAAATAATAATGAAGAAGTTATAGACTGAGATATCAATTGTTCTGTAATAACTGGATATATAATTCAGCAAAGTTATGCCTATGTTGACGTTATTGCTTTTTGGTGAGAAATATGACTTTTTATTTAATGAATTAAACTATTCAATTCTCAAACAATTTGTGTGTATGTGATTTATTCCTATGAGTTCTGCTCTTCCAGGAACATATTTATTTCATTTTATGTATACATGTATGTATTCTGAGCAGATGCTCAGCTGAGGTAACCATCTATGAGAGAAGACTAGATTATGCCTGACCCACAAACACATAGGTTAGATTGTTTAAATGTCCCACTTGGGGAATTTTAGAGTGACACTAGAGAACGTACCAAAGCATTCTAGTTAAGTGTCATTTTGAAACAAATGACAACACCACACACCTGTGGATGCATATCATGATTCTCTTGAAGAAAGTCAATATTCATCCTCTTAATTTTCTCAGAGTAGTCCCATCCTGGTACGGAACATTAGAAACTAGGGAAGCTTGACAGATTGAAGTAAAAGAGGTAAACTCCTGTCTGTCTCTCTGTTTCTCTTTTCAGGATGTGTGTGGGTGTATGTATGTGTGCTTGTGATTGTGGTCGGTGGAGTTGGAATCAAAGTACAGCAGACATGCTATGGGACCCCTGTACAGGATGCAGGTAAGCTCATAATTGTGAAGATGCAGGGGGCCTAAGAAGCTTCATGGAAGCTTCGAAAGCTAATCTGGATTTGAGCCTGAGGCTCTGAACCTAATCACATTATCACTATTCTTTCTTATAGCATACTTTTGCCTGGTATGCCTGAGCTTTTGATAGCCTTATTAAAACTTGCACTCTTGTCCCTACAGGGTTATGAGTAATGGACAGAAAAGTCTGTTTCACACTCTGGTTCTGTGAAGTAGCAACAGTGAGAGCGGCCCCTTCCCTGAATCCGCATGATGGTATCTGCAGTAGCTGTTGGAACAAGACAGCGGCCCATAGGCCAATCATGGCATAGGCAGCCATACAAAAAAAAATAAATAAAATAAATAAATAAATAAATAGAGGAACTTAGTAGAGCTATTTCTGAGCACAGGAAATGGTAGGAGAAGTCTTTTAAAAAGTGCTAATTTCTGCCTATCAAGATTTCAAAGCTGTAGCCTTGAAAATTTGGTTCTTTGTGTGTGTGTGTGTATGTGTATATGTGTGTTTATGTATATATAATATATACACACACACAAACACATACACACACTCACACACACATACACACACACATGCATACACACATGCACACACACGCACACACATACACAGAGACATACACACATGTACACGCACACACACGCACATACACACAGACACGTACACACAAACACATACACACACAGACACATAAACACACTCACACACAAGCGACATATATATATATATGTAAAAACTTATCCCATATTATTATGTAGTAAAGTCTGTAGTTTTTCTGTGTGACAGGATTCCTGCAAAGGACATATCCAGACATCACCACAAGACCTTCTTTCACATACATGTGCCTGATCTTTGATAACAGGGGTGTGAAATAAGTCCTTGAAAACAGTTAGAATGTAAAACAATGATAAAGTTAATGCAAGTTTAAATTTAATAATATGAAAACCAAATCTAAGTTCAAGTCAAAATTTTCTGTAACATTTATAAAACATTTGAAAGGCCTCTTTTCCCAGAATATAAAATGTAAAATTGATTTCCAGGGATAATCAGAGATTAGATACTCATTGCTTCAGGGTTTTAGAGATGAGTAAATATAAGAAGAAAATATTTAAATTTTATCTCTTTTACTCCTATAATCATATATGGGCATATAATTTTTACCTAAACTCTAGATAGAGAGGAACCAATCCCTTCCTACATATCTGATAATAATCAGAATGAGGTTTGTTCACAAGTACCTGAAGGGGGTTAAGGCAGATGACAAAAGGTGGAAAACCTTTATTTATCTAGCAATGATGGAGAAAGTACATTGGAGAATGGAGAAATGAAAATGGAAATTTTGTGAATTTCTTTGGAACAGCTAGAAATAGAGAATCTATTCTACTTAACTTAAAATTTACTTTTGTTTTTGTTTTATTTTTGTAACTAGAGTTTCGGAATGTTACAGCTGAAAGGACAAGAAATGTCTATTGTTTTTGTTGCCAATGATGACAAAGGATGGAGAAAGATGATTCTAAAAGATGGACTTAACTTAAAATTTACTTTTGTTTTTGTTTTATTTTTGTAACTAGAGTTTCGGAATGTTACAGCTGAAAGGACAAGAGATGTCTATTGTTTTTGTTGCCAATGATGACAAAGGATGGAGAAAGATGATTCTAAAAGATGGTTCCAGAAAGATAATTGTGAATCAAGAGAAGATTCTAAGGTAGGAAAAACCCAAACCATGGTAAATGAAAGAATTATGGCTCTTTCCTTACCGAAAGAAAATGGAATCCAGGGGGCAAGTTTTAGGAGGTAGAGATGACAGAAAGTGGTAAGAGGGACTAGCAGGGCCCTCGGGAAATCCTGATGGTAAATGAAAGAATTATGGCTCTTTCCTTACTGAAAGAAAGTGGAATCCAGGGGGCAAGGTTTAGGAGGTAGAGATGACAGAAAGTGGTAAGAGGGACTAGCAGGGCCCTCGGGAAATCCTGAGACGCTGCACTGAGCTCAGCAGTGCTTCTGCCTCTGTTCTTTTATTGCATCTAACAGCAAGGAGCAGAAATTTACAATTAGAAGTTATTTTCCAAGCCTAGACGTTAATGATTTACTGCATTGAATGGAGGGGGGAAGATATTGGTAACACTGTAGAGATAGAAGAGTAAGTTCTGGGTTAAAATAATAATAATTACTAATTAAAGAAGATTTAAACAAACAAATATATAGAGAGAAATGAATTAGGAGTGAAGAATTTGAATCAAGGAAATGATTCTAAAACAGCATTCTCTGTGGCCTAGGACAAAAAATGAACTGAGACAAGGCTGAAATGCCTTTCCACCTTCCTACCCTTACTTTTAAGTCACAAAGAAACTTCTCTTTCCCCCAGACACTTTCCCAGAGCTTCCCAAACAGAAATTGTTAGACATCCCAGGTTATTTTCCCATTTCAAACCATTGCTTCCCCAAGCATCACTCACTGCTTTGGGTTGTAATTGACTTTTTACTTCTCTGCATTTTTTTTACTGCATTGAGAGGTCACTATTTGTCACCTCTGGATCCCTACAACCTAGTACAGTAACTATTGCACAGGACACACTTGATTTATATTTATCCTATTTTTCAAAATTACCTATTTGGTTAGATAACCAAATTAAAACAAACAAGCAAACAAAAGAACAAAAAAGACAAACAAATGAATGAATGAATTCATGCACACATGAATGAATGAATATTTATTTTCTTACCAGGAGGATTTAATACAAATCAGGAGAAGGAAGATATACTTAGAACTGCGCAACAGGTTTCATCCATTCTGTCCTTGTAATTATTTTACACATTCTGGAGACACAGGAGCAGATTCATGCATATATTCTTAAGTTGAACCACAGCAGGCAAATCCCTTCCACTTTCTGTACCTCAGTTTCTGATTTGTGCAATAAAATGTTTGAGAAATAATCTCTCATAGGTCTACCAGGCTGTCATTCCAAACTTTGTTAAATATACTTGCCAAAAGGGATGTTTTTAGTAGCAGTTTATACTGCTGTGTGGGGACCAGGAGATAAGGAGAGGAAGGTAAGAAGGTCTGAAATCAGACTGCTAAGCCAGTGCCAGAACTGCCAGGGACAGGTATGGCCATCATCATTCAGGCCTCACCCTTCAGAGACACACCCTGGCCTAGGCCAATGTGTTCACAGGAGGAGGGAGGGCAGGAGCCAGGGCTGGGCATAAAAGGCAGAGCAGGGCCAGCTGGTTACACTTGTTTCTGACACAACCGAGTTCACTAGCAACCTCACAAACAGACACAATGGTGCATCTGACTCCTGAGGAGAAGGGTGAGATCAGTAATCTGTGGAGCAAGGTGAACGTGGACGATGTCGGTGGTGAGGCCCTGGGCAGGTAAGTATCATGGTTACAGGGAAGCTTAAGGAAGCAAATGGAAGCTGAACATGTGGAGACAGAACAGTCTCCTGAGTTTCTCACCATCACTGACTCCCTTTCTCCTGTTTTCACCCCCTCAGGCTGCTGGTTGTCTACCCATGGACCCAGAGGTTCTTTGGGCACTTCGGGGACCTGTCCTCTGCTGATGCTATTATGCACAACCCTAAGGTGAAGGCCCATGGCAAGAAGGTGCTAAGCGCATTTAGTGATGGCCTGCAACACCTGGACAACCTCAAGGAGACCTTTGCTAAACTGAGTGAGTTGCATTGTGACAAGCTGCACGTGGATCCTGAGAACTTCAGGGTGAGTCTGGGGGTCCCTCAACTTTCTTCTTTCTCTTCTTATCTATGGTCAAGTAAATGTCATGGAGCAGATGCATAGGTATTAGTGTCCAGTTTAGAATGAAAAAAGGCATCTAGTCACATCACTCTGGACCTTCAGAACCACTTAGTTTTTTAAGTTCTCTATTCATGTTCTACCTTGTTTAATTATTTCCCTCTCTTTTTCTTCTTCTTAATTTCTTCTATTTTTTTCATTAAACTTTTTATTTTCCATTTGTAAATTTTTTTAAATTTTATTATTTTAATCGCCATTTTTGTTTGTTTGCCTCCTATATAATACATTCTCTGATCTCCCTTTAAGGCAAGGAGGATAAAATGTTTCATGTTTCTTTGCACAACTCTGAAAAATAGGAATGGTAATTTAATTTCTGGGTTTTGGCAATAGAAGGAATATTTCTGCATATAAATTCTGGCTGATACAGGCGGTTTCATATTGATAGCAGCAGCTAAGACGCAGCTATGATTCTGTTTTTATTTTATGGTTACAACCATAAGCACGACTTGAGATGAAGTAGAATATTCTGTATCCAAGCTGGTTTCCCCTGATAATCATGTTCATACTTCTCGTCTCTTCCCCACAGCTCCTGGGCAATGTGCTGGTGGTTGTGCTGGCCCACCACTTTGGCAAGGATTTCACCCCACATGTGCAGTCTTCCTATCAGAAGGTGGTGGCTGGTGTGGCCAATGCTCTGGCTCACAAGTACCACTGAGCACCATGTCCTCAGAGCCCTACTGCTTAACATTGGGAAATTATAAAGGGCTTTGAACTTCTGGCTTCTGCCTAATAAAGAACATTTATTTCATTGCAATGTTGTATTTAAATTATTTCTGCGTCTTTCACTTAGAATGACACATGGGAGAGCAAGGCATATAAAACACAAAGAAATGAGGGGTTAGTTCAGACTTTGTGAAAATATGCCTATATCTTGGTCTCCATGAAAGAAGGTGAGGCTGTAAGCAAAGGTATGTGGGAAACAGCCCCTTCTGCCTATTATTCACCCCTCAGAAAAAAGATTCAAGTGGCAGCTTGATTTGGGGGTCAGTTTTTTCTTATATTTTGTTTTAAATTATTTATTTTCTTCACCTGTCCCCATAAATGTCTTTTCTCTGTCAAAAGCCTCAGAGCCCTAACTTCACTAAGGTCTTCTACTTAAAGATACCACTTTTCCTCTAAGGTTTTCCTTCCGTGTTTTACTGTTCCGTTGCTCCTCCTCCCTTGACCACCGTTAGACTCTATATGATTTATACAATCTAAATAATATATAAATTGTCTCTACTGTCTTCTAGAAATCTGCTGTAAGGAGGAAAGACAGGGAAGTGGTTGGTCTGCCTTGTCTCCTGAGCCTTCTTTCTCTGCCCCCACCAATGACAATGACCAGGAACCTGCAACGTTGGGCTCCCTGGGCCTTTCACTCTTTCACAGTCTGCATTGGAAGGAGTGGACTGTTAATAGTGCCAAACATGTAATACTGAGGAGAATGTGAAAAGGGGCTTTTTGTGGCTTGATTGTCACTATATCTTATAACACTTTCACAGATCCACACCAAATGGGAATCCCCTCCCTCAGGATGGTTAGGGTTGGTATCCAGAAAGTGATTGGAGATCTACCGTCTCCCTTATTCTGCCTCTGATGGCTTCTCTATCTCTATAGTTATTAGCATAGTGTGACCATCAGCAACACATCCTAAATTCATTTGTTCTCTCATTAGCCATTTAGGTGGATGTTAGATTCTGGAAATAAAACATGAGTCTCAAGTGGTCCCTGTCTCTTCCTCATCCCAATTCGACTAACTGGTAAGATTCCGAAACTAATGCATGTACCAAGTGACAAGTGGTTACCGAACAGTGTGTACAAGGTTTTATGGGATTAGAGGGTGAAACCCTCAAAATGGAGTAAAATCAGAACCCTGTCTTACATCATATACAAATATCAACTCAAAATAAATTAGAGACTTAAACAAAGACCTGAAACTGTAGAACTTCTAGAAGAAAACGTAGGGGAAAGCTCCATAGCAGTGGTCTAGGCAATGATTTTTGTTTGGATTTAACACCAAAGGCACAGGCAACAAAAACAAAAAATAAACAAGTGAGACTATATTAAAGAAACAAATTTTTGCATAGCAATGGAAATGATCAACAAAATCAAGGGCAACCTATGAATGGGAGAAAATATTCACAAACCGTATATCCTATAAGAGGTTAATATCTAAAATATATAAGATACTCATATAACTCAATGAGAAAAAATAAAAATAAAAAATAAACAAAATATGGAGAAAGAACTGGAATAGACATTTCTTAAAAGAATACATACAAACGTCCAACAGGTATATGACAAGATGTTCAACATTACTAACAACCAGGGAAATAAAAATAAAAACCACAACGAGATATCACCTCACACCTGTTAGAAAAGCTATTATCAAAAAAGTCACAGATTACAAGTATTGGTGAGGGTGGGGAGAAAAGGGAATCCTTGTACACTGTTCTTGGGAATAATAAATTGGTATAGTCATTATGGAAAGCAGTATGGAGGTTCCTCAAAAAATTAAAAATGGAACTACCAAGTGATATAGCAATCCCACTACTGGGTACACATCCAAAGGGAATGAAATCAGAATGTTGAAGAGATACATGCACATCCATGTTTATTGCAGCATTATTCACATAAGCCAAGATAGGGAAATTGCCTAAGTAGCCAAATAGATGAATAAATAAGGAAAATGTGAGATATACATGAGTGTGCATTTGTGTGTGGATACATACACATATTTACGTGTGTGTGTGTGTGTGTATATATATATATTATATATATATATGTATATATATTATATATATATATTATATATATATAATAGAATATTATTCACCCTTAAAAATCCTGCCTTATGTGACAGCATGAATGAACCTGGAGGACATCATGCTAAGTAAAATAAGCCAGACTCAGAGAGACAAATGCTGCATGATCTAACTTACATGTGGAATTCAAAAAAAGAAAAAGTCAAACTCATATTAATGAAGAATAGGATGCTGGTTACCAGGTTCTGAGGTACTTGGGGTTGAGGGAAAGGGGAGATGTTGGTCAAAGGATACAGATTTTTAGTTGTGAAATGAGTAAGTTCTAGAGACCTAATATGCAGCATGGTGATTATAGTTAATGATATATTGTATGATTAAAATTTGCTAAAAATGTAGCTATGTGAGGTGATGGCTATTTTAATTAGCTTGATTATGGTAATCATTTCACAATGTATAAATATTAAAAAAACATAATGTACACTTTAAATACATAAAATTTTTAGTTGTATATCATACCTTGATAAAGCTGGAAAATAATACAAAATAAAATAAAACATATCACAAATAAAACAAAAAAAAGAACAAAATCAAAATGCATCACAATGATTTCAGCTGCAACCCTGACTTATCGGATACAAAAGTCCATTTGTAATTTTACTATTTTCCAAAAAAATTCAATGGATTTTAAACAATTTATCTCCATTTTTTTCATTTCCAATCATTTTTATTATATATTTTAAATGTACTATATAGTTTTAGCCTTAAATTTCCTGTTGTTATTACTTTAAACAGTAAAGAAATGTTTAATTACTTACATATTGTTTTACATACTCACCTGCATTTCCAGCCTTCCCTCTCACATCATTCCTATTTTCCCTGAACATTTTTAATATTACCTTTTTTTCTGCTGTAAATAAATTTTTTACTTTGGTTTATCTAAAAAAATCTTCATTTTCTCCATTCTTATAACATATCAAAATAATATCATGCATGTGCTAGTCATAAATAGTGAAATATATAGAAAGCCAAGGAACAGATCTCAATAAAAATAATAATTTGATATGTAAAATATGTCCTTTAAATTCAGTAGGGAAATAAAAACAGAGCTCAACAAATAGCAATTGAACAACTATATTCTTGGAAAGAATAAGGAGAAAAACCTACCTAAGTACATATACCACAATCGATTATACAGTTAAGTGTTAAAATAAAATCCAGTCATTGAAAAAACTAAAATATATGGGAGGACAAGTATATAATCTCAGAAATAAAAATGGGTTTTTAATTATCAACCCTAAGTAGAAATCATAAAGGAAGATATGGGGTCATTCAACAATAAAAGCATTTAAAATGTTCTCTGGTTAAAAAAAATAAAATCCCATGAATAAAAGTAACAGGTAAATAGAAAATTAGAAAAAGGAAAAAAAGAAAAATTATGCAATGTACTTAATAAGAAACAGTAATTGCTAGTAAACTTCCAACCTTTTTAATTGTCATCACCTATTTCAAAATGTGTTTTTAAATGGATATAAACTCTGGCTTACATTATTGCCTTAGATCTGTAATATTCCATGATGTCAAAGATGATGATGGGGTGATCATCCACTACATATTCTCCTGCCAGGATTGTGAAATTAGTTAATGTTTCTTGAGCACATGCAACACATGCTATTAACCTTTTCTTATCAAGTAATTCTATTTCTAGAAATGTATCATAAGAAAAAATATAAAATTATGTGTATGTTATCATTATTTAAAATTAGTGAGCTACTTAAAGCATCCTATATATCAAACAATAAGGACTGTAAAATAAATTTAATATGACTTTTATAAAAATAATTACAACTATTAACATTTTCTTTATATATTCTACTTATGGACATATGGAATATGCTAATAATAAAATGAAAAATAACTTATAAAAGCATGTATATTATATTAGTATATGTATGTTTATATGTATATTATATATACCTATATACATGCATGCACATATATATAATGCACGTACAGGCATTATATACATGATGAAGCCAATTTTATAACAAAAATATTGTACTAATAAGTAATAAAAATGCAATGTAATACAGTATGGTTACTTAGGTTTTCTGACAAGGTACTTATGATTTCTAATTAGTAATGATTCTTATGATTTCTAATTAATAAACTTTGCTAGACAAGGCTGAGGAAATTAAAGATCGTAAAGTCCTAATGGCTTACAAAAACAAAAGCTTATTCCTAGTTCATACTGGTAACTGTAGCTTGAAGTTTGTTGAAACTGTGTTTTACCTGTCTTATGAATTTATTTACTGAAACTGTAGCAGCAACTTTTACTTTGGATATGCCTTTTTTAAAATTTCAAGAGAGCATGCAGAAACACACTTTGGATATTACAGTTTATGCTAGGATGTTGCGTATGTCACATACTTGTCTCGCTAAAGCAAGTCGCAGGGCTAACCCAGGTAAATGAGGTGCAGATATATATTTCTCCCATAGAAAACATTCTAAGACACAAGGCAATAAGTATATAGACTCATTTTAGCAAGTGAAAACAAAGAGGTTTTGAAAAATTATAAAGCCTGTCACAATAAGATTATGGGTGTTTTATTCACCTTATATTTTCTACATTTTCCAAATTGCATATAACCAACTTATACATGTTAATTTTATGACAAAAATAAGTGGTGCAAACAATTTTAATATTGTGCATTCTTTCTTTCCCATTAGCATAAAATAGTTTGTTAAAATCATCTATACAAAAGATGTCATGCTAGGAATTTAGGCTGTGCAGTACAGATGAGTAGGAGCAACATAACTACAGCTTTTAGATGGAATGCATCAGAACTTGGTCATGAACTGGCAACAAAAAATGAAGACATTAAAGAAACAGAAGAATATTTCTAGATTTCTTGCTTGGGGAGGGCAGAGTCACATGGAAGCAGAAAAACAAGTGTGTTTGATGGAAAAAGTATGAGATCACTTTTTTGTAGGATGAATCTGAGAATCTCAG